CGGCCGGGTGCGCGGCCGAGCTGCGCCCTACTGCGTGGCGGAGCTCCCCGCAGGCCCCAGCGCGCTGTCCGCGCCGTGCCGGAGAGGATGGCTCCGGGGCGCTGTTGCCTCCCGACGCCTGCAACAGCGACGGTGGACCCAGGCGGGTGCCCGCGCCTGCGACGACGACCCGCACCGGCTCTTGCAGCAGCTGGTGCTCTCGGGAAACCTCATCAAGGAGGCGGTGCGAAGGCTCCAGCGAGCCGTCGCCGCGGTTGCAGCCACCAGCCCAGCGAGTGCTCCTGGGCCCGAGGGCACCCGCAGCGGACCGGATTCTGTCGCCCTGCAGACCTCGGGCGCAGTTCTCTGACCCGGGCCTCCCAGAAGAGGAAGAGGACGCCACCGCGCAGATCTTGCTGCGTCCCTGCCCCTGTCTACCCAGAGCTGAAGCGGCTGTTCCCGTCGTGTGGGCGACAACGCGGGCTGCGGGAAGGCTCTTGGGGAGAGACTTCAAGCCTAGAAGTTACTGGCCCCGGCAAGGTTGCCGGACAAAACGTAAAGCTTGGAGAAATGCACGGGCCAGGAGGTGTATTGTCCTTGTGTGAAAACTTCCCCAGCTCCTCAGGGCCAAGAACCCGGGGATAAACTGGGGGAATTATGGCAGCTATTTGCATCGACTTAGCTCCTTTAGACATTGTGCGCTTGGATTGTTTAAAGATGGCTCGCAGGGCCGGGAATCACGAGGGTTTCTACAAATTCTTGAAAGCTAATGATAATGCATACATTTTCTCGTTATTTTCCGGTGGAGGTGCCTACCGAAAATGGTGCTGCAATTGCTGTGCAAACCAGTTTTGGGAAGAATGTAAAAACTTGGCGGTGGGTAGGTTGCCGTCGCCCTTAATGCACAGCTGGTGGAGATGCGGATAGGAACTCCTGATGGGAGACAGGGAGACAGGCAGGGTGGTGGAGCATTTCGCAGATGGGGAGCGTTGAATTCGAGTGTGGACTCTTAAATGACTTGACCTGGCTTCCTGTGGTTGAAGTGGAAGGCTACGGGATTCCTAGAACTAAGCCTGGGTGTCTTTTTTTCTTGCTCCAAGAAGAGCCCTGTCTGCTTTGCCACCACTTGGAGTCTCCCGAGGACACACAGGCAAAGAGGGACATGGGGGAGGTGGATTTTTCTGGGCTTTCCTCTTTCCCAAACTCCTCCTCCTAGGCAGGCCACTCTTGGCCCAGCCGCCAGCTTTCTCAGAAACGGTCATAAACAAATTCTTGTCCTCCCAACTGGCCTTTCCTCCTTCTGGTGTCGCTAGGGCTGGATGGGAGTCCTGGACACTTTCCTGCTTTTACTGGGCCTTTGATTCCTCACTCGCAGTTGTTTCCTCCTGCTGTGCCAGCTTTTCTTTGTGAGTGACTGAAACTCTTTTTTAAAATGTGACTGCAGGAGGAGAAAATGGTGGCTTTACTCTTGTGAAACTTGAGGGCGCTTTAGAAAGGTGCCACCCCCAAACTTCAAGGTAGCTAAACCAATTTTTTGCAATTCAATGGCTTGTTCATCCTCCAGATGTAGCTATTGACCTATACTTCGAAACGGAGTGTCTGAATTGTGGTGGTCCTGATTTATAGGATTTCTTAATTAAAAATGTCTGCTAAATAAATTTGGTGGTTTTTTTTGGAACGTGATTTGGCTTTTTGGTGGAAGATGGAGCGAAAGAAAAGCAGACAGGACGCACCCTCACAATGAGACGTGCACACGGGGTGTGTAAGGGACCCTGGGCAAATGGTTGGGGCCAGAGCCACTCAGCGCTGAAGCAGTCAAGAGCAGCAGTTACTTGAGTTCTGGGCTGAGTGTCCACACAATCAGAAAATTAGGTCCAGGTGTTTAGTAGCTGCTAGGTGAGCTGCCATTCCTTTTGTGGGAAAAGACTATTCTAGAAACACTTTCTGGGCTAGAAGGCAAAGAGGTGTTCTCTCTGGTAGAAGGTAGGCTTTCACCTGGATTTCTTCTGGGCAAAGCCAGCCTGTTTTCTCGTTTTAGACGGACCCACTGAGCTGTGGCCTAGGGAAAGAAAAACAAGGTTTTACAACAATTTGGTAGTTGTAAAATGGCTTGGTTTGAGCAGGCAGGGATTAGATTTAACCTCTTGGGCATATAGGGCCTTGGTGAGCCCCTGTGTACTTTCTGCCTTGCCCTTTTGTTTTTTTGAGACAGGGTCTTGCTGTGTAGTTCAGGCTTGCCTGAAACTCCCAGAGATCCTCCTGCCTCAGCCTCCCAAGTGTTGGGATTACGGGCATACCCTTTTTCAAGGACAGCTTTCCTGGTACAGGCCAGCCTGACTAACCAGCCCCTGTGGCACTCCTGCTCAGCACCTTGAGCTCGTTAGTGCTCTGTGATACTGCCTGATGCATCCCTGCTGCTCATTAGCTGTACCATGGTGGGCAAGTCACTGCCGTGAGCTTTCCCCTCCACAGGTTTATAGAATACTAATGCTGTACTTAAGCTACTTGGGAGGGTAAAAAAAGGACCTGAGGTATCTAGGAGATTGAAGGACTCAAAATACAACTGCTAACTGTTGGTACTACCACATGGATGTATGTGGCGTGAGGTAGGCACAGTTTTAATATTCTGTAGGTGAGGACAGTAAGCCCAGGCCCATAAGTGATTGAAAGTTACCACTTTTTTTTCTTTTTTTTTGAGGTGGTTTCCCTATGTAGTTCAGGCTGGTCTTGAACTCACAGTGTAATCCAGGCTGGCCTTAAACTTGCAGGGATTCTTCTGCCTCAGTTTCCTAACTGGTAGGATTACAGGTGTGCCCCGCCACGTTTGTCTTGGCATAATTTTCTCCCTGTTGGGTTTACTTCAGAAAACATCCTTTTTGTTTGTTTGTTTTTTTCTTTTTCTTTTTCCGGTACTGGGAATCAAACCCATGACCTTACGCTTGCTGGGCAGGCGCTGTGCCGCTGAGCTAAATCCCCAGCCCCTAGAAAACATCCTTCAAGCCTTGATCTGCTGTTACAGTCGCATCCTGCTTCTCAGACTTGTGCCTTACCCACGTGTATGCAAGTTTTGAGGGATGTGGGTAAGGCAAGGTTTGAGACACCTGGTAGAAACCATAGTAGGTTTGAAGGCTGAGACCTTTGCATAAGGAAAAGGAGATTGCATGAGAGGCACAAATAGCCAGTAGCACATGGCTGCTTCCTGGAACCTCAAGTCCTCTGTAAGGTGAGGACGAGGCTGCTCACTCAGTACAGATTTGCTGGTGGTCTACAGTCTGGCCAGAGCGGTGCTCAGGAATGAAATGGGAATGGTGACTTCAGCCAAGGAGGAAGCATCCATAGGACCTGAGAAGCCAGGTAAAGAGGCAAAGGGAACTGAGCCTTGGTGTGGTCAGGCACCTTGAGGGGCACGTGTCACATTTCGTGAGACAAGAGGATTTGGTGGTAGGCCAGGCACTGACCTCAAGGCTCTCAATTGGGCCTCTTGCCTCCACTGTACAGTTACCCACACTCCTTTGGGTGGGGGAGAGAGGATGAAACATTGTTAGCTGTGTACCACTGTAAAGGGAGCAGTCTTGGCTCCAGTAATTTCCTTCTGGATTCTAAGGAAGTCTAGAAATAGATTTGCCAGTGTGTTCCTCCACCCCAAGCAGGAGGGCAGTTTATGGAAGAAGCGCTATGGTCTGCCCTCATATCACTTGTAGATCCCTTGTTAAGCACGGTTCTTAAAATCTACCAGTTCCTCAGGCACAAGCAGATCTTCACCCTTCATGGAATCACTGCCAGGAATTTGTTCTGCCAAGTTGGGTGCAAAAGTCCTTTCAAGTCTGGTATGGTGTTGTATGCCTGTAATCCTAGCACTTGGGAGGCTGAGGCAGGAAGATTGCTGAGAGTTCAAGGCCAGCCTGGGCTACATTGTGAAATCAAGGCCAGCCTGAACTACATAGTAAGACCCTGTCTCAAAGAGAAAAAAATTTTCTCAGTGTCCCAGGCTTGAAGTCCACAGGGTTGGTATCCCTAAACATCACTCAGCTTGTCTTCACATTTAATGCCTCCCCAGACCGTGCTTCCACTGGCCCTGAGAGTATGAATTTTGCCAGGCTACCAAAGAACAGATGGGTCTTCAAGTCAGTGTAGTGTTCCTTAAGAAGGTCTTCATAAGCCTGCATGAATTTTTTTTTTTTTTTGGTTCTGGGAATTGAACTCAGGGCCTCATGCTTGCCAGATAGTCGTTGTGCCACTGTGCTAAATCCCCAGCCCTGCATGAATTTTAAATACAGAATCCATTCTGTTCAAAACATTTGATGATCTTATTCACAAGAGGCTTGATGGTGATGAAAGTGACTCACTGGTCATGGTCTTCAGGTGCTTGGGCTTTAGCCCACATTCATTTTCTCACAGACGCCTGCTCCTACTCCTGATCTAGCCATTTGCAAAGGCTGTGGAGTGCCTAGTCCTGGACCTGGGCCTGGGCAAATTGTCTTTCAGAGGCAAAGACCATATCCAAAGTGTCGCTGCTTGGGATAGCTCGTTCCTAGTACTCAGCTCAGAAATGACTTTGGCTAGGATATCCCTTGCTCCTTAGAATAGATGGGTGGCACTGAACTGGGGGTGTAGGCAAGTGCAGTTGCAATGGGGCCAGAGCCTAAGTTCCCCTGGTAGCATTCTGTGTCAGGGGCAGCAGGACCAGATCTGTAGGGAAGTGGCAAGAAGTTGAGGGTAGGTGTGGTGGTGGGAGTGTTGGTGGGGAGCCCTGGTTAAGAGGTTCATGGGGGAAGTTACAGGAATAGCCGGCTGGTGTGTCATAAATGACTGGGAGTTGGAGAGAGATCAGGGCTGATGATAAAGGCCTGGCAGTTAAAGCTAAGAGTGCTGGTGAGAGCCAGGTGGGAAATACTAGTAACACTAGCTAATGTACTTAGTACTTCCCAGGTGCCAGGCTCTGCCCTAAGCGCTTATCAAAGACTAGCTCATCCGATCTCGGTGGGAAGAAGTGATGACACAGAAGGAGCAAGACAGAAAGTAAGAGTAGAAGCAAGGGAAGCTATGGGGTGAACTGTAGTGGTGGGTGTGTGAGTGTGTCAGCCATGTGCGTGCACGCACTTGCACAGACACACACACACACACAGAGCCATGTCTGTGCTCCATCTGTATATGTTCCTTGTGATCAGGCTCTAGTGGTCCAGAGCATGTGGAATTAGGTCTGCTCAGGAGCTTTCATTGTCTTTTTTTTGAACCCTGAAGTTAATTCCACTTCCTTAATCAGAACCATTACATAGTGTCTTTTGTGCTCAACCTAGCTGAAGAAAGGTGGGGGTTTGTGACTTCAGTATCTGGAGAAGATTTTCAGGAAAACCTAGGAAACCATTTTTCACCAATATTTGTAGCATCCAATTAATGAGACCGTGTCTCAAAACAAAAAATTTAAAAAGGCCTGAGTAGGGGCTGGGGATTTAGCTCAGCCGCAAAGCGCCT